CGCCCAGCAGATGGGCCAGTACCTGCTTACATCTAGCCCGAATCACTGGAAAGGACATCTGTCTCTGCTCTCAGATCTGATGCTTCAGTGGCCCTACTGCAGCTGAGCAGTAAAAACTCCACCATGCATTTATGAACTGATATTTTTAAGTAATTTATACTGTGAGCAGTATTTTGAATGAGTTTTAACAAAGTGGCTAAAAAGAAAAAAAAATCCTGCTGTCAGATGTACCAGATGTCAGCTCCTCGTTGCAACACATGGAGCTTCTTGACAAAAAAAAGTTGCAGAAATATTTTTAAGATGCCTAAAATGACAACATTTTGTTCAGCAAAATCATTTTTTCTGAAGCTTTTCACTCCAGGTCACATGCTACTTTGGGAAAGGAAAGTCTGGAAAAGTTACAGGCACCTGAAATTTCTGAAGAATTCTTTTCTGAAGAAATAATTTGGGGTACCTGTGCCTATGTTATCTTCTAGTCTAAAAATCACCTCGTCCTTTCCTCTTCTCTTGCATCCAACCCCAGTCATGTTTCTAGGTAGACACTGGGGCTAGCGTACAATACTATAAGCATACTGAAATGACTAATATGAAAGGGCTGAGTAAAAGGCCTTTAAAAATAAACCAAAGATAAATCATTACTTAAGAATTACTGTTTTGTTTGCTTGTCATTAGACATCTGTTCATAGACACTGCAGATGTTCCACTGTTTGTCTGGGTTTAATCGTAACAACTTTGCAAAGGTGCCTTCTTCTTCCTCATTGTTTTCACTTGGTTTCTAAGGCAAACAACACCTATTTTTTTTCCAGGCTTTTTAATTATTTAAAGCTGCTAAAATGCTAGAACTAAATAACTTCATAGGATGGAAATTTAAATCCAAACCTCAAAATGTACCAAGTGTATGCAGTACCAGACCTTGCCTTGACCCCTCCTGCTGGTAGCCCCCAGGACCTCCCTGCAAGGTCTGGGTATAATTCAGGTCAGAACTTGACCTGAAACATGTAAAGCTAGCCCTCCCCTTCCTCCCTTCTCCCAGTCATCTGCTCACATTTCTAGACCACAAATAATGTACTGAATCCGAATTGTTTACTTTGCTGGGAATGCCATCTGTGTGTTGGCAGCTGGGGTGGGAGGAAAGGCACACACACTGAACAGCAGCGATATATACAGACAGTGGACTAAATTAGGAGAAGTTCTGCTGCTTTCCAGTGCTCTGCATCTTTGCATGCTTCCATGAAGTGGATACACTTCTTCTTAAACAGATACTGCACATCTGGATTATTCAGCAAGAGAGCAAATTCAAAACATTTGATTGGAGATATCAAATAAGCCAGTCTGGGCAAAATAGTAAGACTACTGAAAAGGCTTATGTCATTTATGGCTAAATTCACTTTTTAATATCTTACAGTATACTGGAACCAGCAAGGAGAAATAAAAGCAACAGTAAATATTGTCAAAAGAAGTATGTTGTAAGTCATCCAAAATGAAAAATCAGAGAAGATCTGGCACGAATGTTTCTTGTAGGTCAAAGATAATGTCAATAGCCACTTAATTGGCAACTGATTCTGAATTCTAAAGAGGAATTGCTGGCATAGCATATGAATTTCCCATTTAAAAGGTCTCACATTTGAACAGTGCACTATATTACAGAAAGGAAAATTCAATAATTAAAAGCTCATCTTTAAGTATTCAATTCTGTAAATGTGATGGCAGGGAAAAATTTAAAGATTAAAATTTTGCTGATATTTCTTCACTAACAGCTTGGCAACAGCAGTAAGTCTACACAGAATCTTAGAATGGCTGAAGTGGGAAAGGACTCTTGGAAATGGTCAAGTCTTACTCCTCTGCTCAAAGCAGGGACCATGAGGATTGCTCAGCACCATGCCCAGCTGGGTTTTTAATATCTCCAAAGACATGGAAGCCACAGCCATTCTGTTTTCTCAGTCTTGGAATTGGTCTAAAGTACATGAAACTTAAGAGCAATCAATAACGAAGTGAGTTCAGTCCTTCAGCAAATTCACAGCTGCAGTACTGAAGAAACTAGATGACAAAGAAATGGTTTAATGCCCCTTAATTTACAAAAGTTGGATTTACATTACTAATTCGATTTACCTCAACTTATTTGGTGTAATGCAAAAATGGCAGCTCTTCTGTGTAAGGTTTACCCATCCTGAAGAAAATACATGGAGGCAAGTTAACTTTCATCAGTTTAAGAGAGAGGTCCTCATGTTAGCAGGGGGGCTGGCAGTAGACTCTCCCCCAGGTCCTCGTTACTGGTGGTGGAATGCTGGCTGGTAGAACGTCTACACTGGGATTACCTCCAACAGATACTGGTGTCTAGCTGACAAGTCCACACAGCCCACTGGTAGCATGGCCATACGTGCAACAACAGGAGACAATCACGTGTTCGGATAAGCAAAGTCATTGGCAGAAAGCAAGGACACACAGTTACTACAGAGCAGATTTTCTCGAGTGAATTTCTTCTAGCTGCATTCCAGAAGCTGGAGGCAGTTCACTTGTGTTCTCTTGGGCTAGTCACCTGTTCAGGCCATGGTCAGTATTTTCCCACACATCTGGCAATTCTTATTTTAAATTGACAGGAACAGGTTTCATACTTCAGTTTTCCATCAGCAAGACATAAAGAACAAGAAAGGACACGTCCTATTGGTAAGCATTTTAACAATTTGGCTGACGTTGGTCCACTAGCAAAGGCTATGTAATCAAAAGTGTAAAACTGCATGCACATCTGGTATAATTAGCTTGTCACTGTATCTCCTCAGATTTCCTAAAATGTGCTGCACTAATGTTTGGTACCTGTTTGGTACAGTGTAAGGTAAGACTTTCTCTGTTGTGACAATGCATAGGCTTGAAGATCTTATATTTTCATGTTGGAGGTAAATCTTTCAAAACCAATACCCCAGATCTAGAGGTGTCAGGAAAGTGAGGAAGAAGTATCTCAGTTCAGAAATGGGTCCTTAATGCCCATAGAGCTAGTTGAAATGAGAGAGAGGCATGTTTACAAATGATCAAATCATAAATGGTTAGTTTAAAAACACTCTGCAGTGTTAGAGCAATTTTTTAGCATTTTTATTAGAAATACAGGCCACAAATAGATTTTCATCTATTTTAGAGGCTGAGACTATTCTCCCAAATATATGATATATAGGAGATACTCTAAAGTGATTCACCTAAATCCTGTGGGCCAAGTTTCCGGTCTTAATAGAGAACTTCTCTTTGTTCTCTGCAGCTTACCCTGGTAATTTCTTCCAATTTTATTAATATCTTCTTAGAATTATTCCTTGAAGAAGAACCTTGAACTGCAGATCATCTGCAAGGAAGAGGAACACAATTCTTTACCAGGCACAGTGAGATTCACAGAATAGCAAAAACAGCACAGAAAAGCATAAGCAGATTATTCTGACACATTAAAAATATTGAATTTCATTGCTTTGCATATATTTTAACAGAAAATTTTAAAGTCTTGAGTTAACATCTGAATTCCATTCAAATTAATTTGCCTCAGAAGAACTCAAGTTCTTACCTTGAGATTGTACATCATCCCTGAAATTTTCAAATTATTCAGAAAAATCGATTGCATTTTGATTGTTTAAAGTTACAAAAGAAAATGGGAAAGAAAAACGGGTACTGACACAAACTTTACAATCATCTCAATTCCGTAATTCCAAATTTGCAGCACAAGATCTGTATGGCAAAGCAGGAACAGTATGTTAAATCCTTGTTTGCTTTGTTCCTTGTTTTCTTGGGCATAAAAGCTTTGTTCATCAGTACTCATACACTTCCATATGTACTGCTGTTTATAGACTTTTTAAAAATAAGTACTATCCCCCAGTTTTGTTGTTAAATAAATATTTTCCCATTCCAAAATGAAGCAATGATTGAACTGACCAGCTAGTTTAAGAAGTGAGCAGATGTGGTAACAAAGCAAGTCACTGACATGGCCACACAGATTTTCGTGGTGGTCTTAATGGACTTAGAAAGTGACGTCTCTCCTGGAAGAACCCCTGTTGCATGGTCCAGTTTCTGTCTCAGTCATCTAAAGTTACTTACTTCTAATTAAAATACTGTATCTGGTGGTTTACCAGGAGAATAAAACAGAAAATCCCAGTTTTTGTTCTGAAGAACAAATGTGTGTTTGACATTTTTGGAGCAGCACTGCTTGCTTCTTACGTAAGTTCTCCTCCTCCACACAATTTTCTCTTCTGAAGGAAAATGAAGCATTTGTTTTTTGTTGTAAAAAGAGATTCTTGAAAGAATCAACAACAAACAAAAGCTATTCTTGCCATTGAAAAGATCTTGGTGACATGTCACTGTTCCAGAAAAAAGCAACAATCTGGATCCACGAGTAGTTTGGATTTTGTGGGAGGAAAGGTGATGGCAGAAAGTAAGTGAGTACATCTACAGCTGAATGCCTCAGCCTTCCTGGCTCTGAACTACGTGTCCTAAGTACTGCCCTATGTGCATTTTCATACAAAGCAGTTACTTGAATTAATGGGACACATCAGAGAAGGATTTGAACTTCCGCTGGTCCCGCCACCACTGATGTGCACATAATTGCTGGGCACAGACAACACAGTCTACTTGTCTCTATTTTCTTCCTTCACAAGTCAGAGAGAATACAATGAGCGAGCAGTAGTCAGAAGTGGTCAGATTAGTAAATGAATAAGCTATTTATTGTAATGAATAAGGCGTTATTCAAAGTCTGCTTTTTAAAATATCCTTTTCCTCAGCTCAGTGAGCCTTGAACTAGACACTACTAGACATTACTTCCAAGCTGAATTTACCCCTTCACAAGGGGTCACTTTTTACAGAAAAAGCAGATCAATACATTGAAAAAGGTGACAGCATGAATGACTACAAGAAAAGTAGAGAAACAAATTCTGTGGTTCACATGTGTTGCTCTGCTGTGCTCATGGGTGAGCATTCACACGAGCAGAGATGCTTTTATTTTGCCTACTAAAAGTCTCCTGGTTTTTGCTTTCCAGCAAGTGGAGAATCTCCTCCAGACGTAGTCACAGCAGAAGCCTGGGGAGAGTGCACAGCTCACTGCCTGCAGGAACCACCTTCTTCACAAGGCTTCTGGAAAATATGCACATTGTTTGGCCAAGTTAGGTCTTTCATGTTGGAAGCTCCACACTAAAGAAATTAGCTAGCACAACGAAAGGTAAGATACCACCGTTGTCTGAGAACAACAACTGAATGACCCTGGAAATGCAAATCCTTGTTTTTACACATATTCATACATGTTAATAAAATCCTGGCCCAGGAATTTTATTCAGCTGAGTAATATCCTTTGACTTCAATAGTATTCTATTTTAAATGAGAGAGACTTCAGGTTAGGTTTTGCATTTGAACAGCAGCCTCTGTTTGAGTTCAGGTGAGACTGCTGCGTTGTAAAAACTCATAACTCATGCCAATTTGTCCAGATCAGATTTCACATCTTGTTAATACTCAGCTCCAATAACGCAGAAAGCAACACTGCCAAACTTCATAACCGTTCTCACATTTTGATTAGAAAATTTTCATAAACACCATTTCACATGGGTGTTCTCAACATGCCAGTTGCATCATCTCCTCTGTGCAATTAGTTATACAAACACTGAAAAATAGGTTTATGACCTGGAAGCAGGTTTTGATAAACCCTTCTGAAGAAGTACCTGAAGCATAGTCCTGGAGAATCTACCAGTGATAGAAATGATTAATGCATATACAACAGCACAGTCTCCAAACAAGCTAAAGACCTGCCAGGAGCAGCAGTAATTCAATATCTGCTTTAAAGGAAAGACTGCAAAAGAGACCATAATTGAGGATTGAGATGCTGAATTCTTCTGATGGGGAAAGTTACGGAACACATTAATAATTTGGGAGATTTACAATGTCCTGACAGAAATACAGAAGACAGGGAAGACAGAAAGGATCATGGAAAAAAGAACAACAGCCACAAAAATTGCACACTGACAGTGCACCGCTTCCTCCTTATTTACATAATTAATACTTGGTCTTCTGAGCCATGGGTCCACCTTGATCAATGTTCATGGTCTACACAGCTTGACAAGAGCACTCATAATACATTTATTTTGCCCTCCTCTTCCGCACAGGCCGCCTGGTGACTGTCCCACCATCTCTGTTACTCACAGGAAACCACTACTGCTGCACTTGGGACAATACTGGTTCTACTGTGTCTGAGGGCTGTGGCTTCAAATTGCAGTAAGGCTGATAAAATAACCAGCTGCCATGAAAAGAAGTGTGCTCTTGCATGTAATCTCCCTTGTGCTAGCTGCGGTCCCATGGTAAACTGATGCAGGGAGATGGCCATCAACATGCCACCCTCCTCAAAGAAGTAGTTCTCAGTGTTGTGTTATCTTAGTCAAGCTTGTCATTAAATAGCAGCAAGCACAAGAAACTACTGAGCATTTTTTTCACATGTGGGCTAGAAAAGATTGAGGTTGTTACTATTTTACAAACCAAAAGATCCAAAATACCCAGTATGGTGAGTGCAGCACTGAAAACATCACATTATCCTATTCCTTGGAACCTATTATTGAAAGGCTCATATTGGGAAAAGAAAAAAAAAAAAAGAATATAACACAAACCAAAACAGTAGGCTAGGAGCTGGAAAACAAAACCATTTAAATATAAATAGAATATGGGCACCTTGTAACACAGAATTCCTGTGCATTGTCATCTGCTGATTATTAGCTTCATTTATTTTGGAATTTGCTTTATTTTCATGCAACTTTTGTGTATCCAAATAATTACAGTTGTATTGCTGTATTAGTTTGAATCTAGTCAGTGAGATGAACAGAGGAGCCTATCTTTGTGTCATTCTGGCCAATATTACATTCTATTACATAAGAAGTGGGAATTAAACATAAGAAATGGGAATTAAATCAATTTTAATGCACCATTCTAATAAGAAGACAACTGTAGTTCTAGATTGCAATTATGGAGTTAATTACAATTTCATTGGTACTGCTTAGGATTAAGAATACTAAGTTTACCTTGGGTGAACATTTCATTATCTAGGATGAATCCAAGCTACTTTTCTTCTAAATCATATCTTGGCTTATTTCCTAACTTTGACTGTTTAATAAAAGCATAGAGAATTTTACAGGTAGACTGTATCAAAACAGGCTAGCTGGTTGACTTCAAATTACTGTACAGTGATTTGAGAAAAACATTAATTTTGAAGGAGCTCTGGAGGCTGAGTATAAAGATTATTAAACATAAGTTATATATATGCAGAAAAATTGCTTTTGCATGAATTCACTTTTAAAATGTTAATATATGCATAAGAAAATTGTGTTTCTTAATCTCTGAAGAAACACTTATCACTAGGAACCACTTAATTCTTTTCCTGCGCTTGATTTATTAGCTTATGAAATTATGCTAATAGTTTGCATGCTAATGGTTTTGGGGCTCAAATGACCTGATTTTAATAATGAAGTAATTTATGCAGTAAATGCAATCATCATCCATGAATCTCACTTAAAAGAACGTATCAGTGATTACCTGTGCTAAAACCAAATGCCTGTCAATATGGCACACAGCATATGCCATGATGGGGAAACAGGATGTGCTCAGTCCAGTACAGCCTTTAGGATGGTTGGGTCCCGCGCTGATGAGCTACAGCAAGGCCTGCAACAACAACTTTCTTAAGAGTTTATGAAGCTTAGTGTTTCTTAGCCAACTTCCTTGCATGAGCACCTTGGAAGGAGAAAGACAATGGCAGGAAATGGGCAGAACCCATTTGAATGGAGTCTAACCTGGAGCCAGTTCTACTCTGTGAGTAGGAGACCTCAGTGGCACAGACACCTCACACACCGGGGTGGAAGAGACTGTAGGAAGAAAGTTTGTGTTTGGGTGAGAAGATTTAATCTTTACAAGAAAAGGGGCACTTTTATTAAGGATGTGAGCTGCGTGACATCTTAGAGGTGCAACCCCTTGCAACATCTGGGAAGCCGGTATGTAACAGATCCTTCACAAAGATGCTGTCCTAAAACATCTCTATTTAGAGATCTGCTCACTGCAAGATTGTATTTGAATCTGTCCCCCACGTAATTTATTGTTCTGTTCCCCAAGATGAGGAGCAATGCACGACTTCACTCTGAAAAGAATACAGCCGTGGTTTCTTTGCAGTAATGTAAGCTTGTGTTTTGATAACTCGCTGAACATCAATATTCACTTTGGTATAAAATATATATATATACATATATATATTCTTAGCTGCCAAAGATAATCTAACAGTTCAAACACCCAGACAGAAGCTGAGAGAGGTCAGACTGGATGTTATCCAAAATGTACAAAGTGGATAGAAGAACTGGATCATTCCCTCCTCATAGAAACTCTAATGCCTGAAGGCCAGAAGTCCCCTCGTCTTCCAAAGACCGATGTTGAGCAACTGTATTTTGGTTGTTCCAGCCTCCTCTGTCCTCCACAGAACATGGAGACCTCCCTGCATGTTGAGACCAGGGCCTATGTGATGCTCACTAAAGAGGTCTTGGTACAAAGGCCCTAAAATCCACTGTGCTGCCTACACATGGCTCCAGAGGGTGACGAGGCTGACCCTCTGTGTCTGGGTATGGGCTGGGCACAGCAACAAGAAACCTGCTGAAAGTATCCCTGCGGAGGCAGACAGGGCTTATTCTGCAATCTGCAATGTCTCAAGCTCCAGAGGAGCTGGGCTGAGCTCCACTGGTATAACAATAAGAACAAACCTGATCAAAGCCTGTGTGTTTGCTTTAGATGTGGATGCCATGCACTCTGTTGCCATAGAGCTGCGACAGCTTAATGAGCCGTCGCCCATCACAGATCAGAACTACTGTGGCTGTGTGCAGGCTCCTGCCCTGCCCCCTCTCTCCAGAGACATGCCAGAGTCCCATAGACGAGTCCTGGCTGCACTGAGCTGCCTACCAACAAGCCTGGGCATCCCGGCCTGGCCAGGCAGGGTTTCTGAGGTAAGAATTCCCCTCTTTCATTTCCACATGCTGCACCTGGAGGATGCTCCTCTGTCAGGATGGCCCTGGTAGCAGCGGGGGCTGGAAGGCAGAGGATAGAAGGACGCATTTCAAAGCTCAGACATAGGGGTTTTTTGCAAACTGTAATGACTCAAAGCAGTTAAATATCTACTATTTCCTTGGAAATCTGACTAGAATTATTTAGCACTGAAAACCAAGCTTGCAAACACAACTAGCCCAAGCCACAGAGCCCTGAGCGCTGGTGCATGCTTGCCATTGGACACAGACAGAAACGGCAGACAGCCAGCATCAGCATTTCAAAAACAAACAGGAACATCACAGCATGCCCTCCGCGCTCTGCTTGCAAGAATCTCAGCCTCCCTGCGCCAGGACCTGGGGCTCTTATGGTCTCCTGACTATGAGAGCAAAGGGAGAGGTGCAGTCACTGCCCTCTGCTGCCTAGGACAAGGGCTGGAGCTGGTGGGCCCGGCCTGCTCTGGCTCTCTTGCATCACATGGACGCCATCTTAGCCCACCTGAAGTGGCTGTTAGCGTTAGGGGATGCATGCCATCTTTGCTGTGCTGTGCACACACTGGCTGAGTGCTTCCCGCAAAGGAGTGAATAGAGATTCATGTTCATTGTGGGGAAGAGAACAAATAGGGAAAGGAAGAGCCAGGGACCCAAAGTTCATCCTTTCCTGATGTAGTTCAGCAGCGAGGCACAAGTATGAGGTGTGTATAAGGTGTGTGTCTGTGGGTGCCGGATCAAGGCCAGGAGGGCTATCTGTGATGTTTCACACTGACACTTAAGGCACAGAAAAAGTACTGACACACTAAAAACACAATATGAACTAGTGGCCTAATCTGTCACGTATGCTACTCTTAACACTGAAATGCCAGAAATTAGCTTGGTGGAAGCCATCCTTGTATTTTACATGACAGAAACATGACAGAAACAGAAACATTTTATGATGATGATTTGAAGTGATCATGTAGTTAATTAGCAGGATTAAATAAGCACAGTCTGTTAGCGCAATCACCTTCCCTACTTCATGCTACTCTTACAGTCTTACGTTGCATTTTGATTTAACATTGGATTTTAATACTTCTGGGCAAGGATTTGTTTCCCT